ATATAACCAGTACTATCTTGAAGTTCATAATTGATTAGACACTGCTCAGTACAATAACTTCTAATGTTTATCTAAATCTGAGTGCCACCCTGGTGGTTTCCTAAAGTTTTAACAGGAAACTAGTGTTCCATTCAAATATTTTTTATTTCAGGAGGAAATATAAACTAACATATACTTAACAAGGCTTATAATGAATTATCTGCCTTTGTGTTCCCCCCAAATTAAAAAAAAAGAACAAGAAAATAATCCATAACATACATTGATCAGCATTTTTGTCAACTGATCATGTTGATTTTTGGCTGTTCGATCACTGCCCTATTGTATTATTAATTTTCTTTAACATTTATTGTGTAAATAGTCAATTTTTTTATTCCTGTAATATGGGATCTTTTAAAATTATTGTTACCTAAAATTAAAATTGTTTGTTGGCAAGTCAGAAGCCTTAATGTCAATAACCCTAATTAGGATGTTATCTCATCTCTACCAGAAATAGTGGCTGATAAAACCTGAAGAAATTCAGAGTCTTGTTTTCCAGTTAAAGTTTATTGGAACTAGGTGTTCAGATTTACAATGCTTAATTCTTATTGTATTCAAGGAAAATTGTGACTGATAATTTTGTCATTTGAAGCCACTGCAAATGGAAGCGGCCTATACCTAGAGGAGGCCCTTGGGTCTTTGGACTCATAGCTACCCTGACACAATGACCAGGTACACAACTTTCGAAAGTCAGCTTTTAGCTTGCGCCTCAGTTCTTGTCTACTCTGAAGCCTGAGCATAAGAGATTTGTGGTTCCCCAGCCTGATATTCCCATTTTAGGGTGGGATAGCTTGTACCCAACAAAGTGCAAAGAGTCCATAAAGCCTTGGTTGTCAGATAGAAATAGAGTATTCAAGGAAGAAAAACAACACACACACACACACACAAAAAATAACCACCCTGCACCCAACAATATCTCAACTTTAGAGGTAAATACTATAGCTTTCTTTGAGGGATGTTTTATGCCTCGCTTTGCCCCCTGAAGCAAAGTTGCTGGCTCTATGGGGTCCTCCATAGAGTGTCCCCTGAATGCCTGGCTCTGGTTCACTGATGGCTCCACTAAGCTGAAAGGTATGGTGTCCACTGGGCTGGTGTTATTGTTTAGACTCAGTGCCAGCTATGCAGAACTGAAAACAGGCATGATTCTATTACTCACTGGTCAACTCAGGGTTTGGGGCTTTTAGCTGTATTTTAGCACTTTGGTCTGCCATTTTGTAAGTGATATACTGGTGAAATAAGGACACCCCTTTTGGAGGCTATTAACCGTGAAAGGAGTCCCTGAAAGGTACAAATGGTTAAGCATTCAACTATTAAATGAAAGGTTGGTGGTTTGAACCCACCCAGAGGTGCCTAGAAGAAAGGCCTGGTGATCTGCTTCAGAAAGGTCACAGTCATGAAAACCCGATGGAGCAGTTATACATGGCACACATGGGGTCATTATGAGTCAGAATTGACTTGATGGCAACTGTTTTTTTTGTTTGTTTGTTTCTTTCTTTCTTTCTTTTTAAACTGTGCAAACGAATGTCATCTGTGGATCTGACTGTCTGGGTGATTCATGTGAAGACCCATGGGGAGAGCCTCTTCTCTAAAGAAACCAACTGGCATCAAGCTGCTGGTTGATTCTGACTCTTTTTCTGGAGCAGAAGCTACCACTGAATGCCAGACTTATGACTCCCTCTAGAAGTGGACCCATTGTCTCATGTTTGGGGAGGCCTCCAACCACTCCTGGCAGAATGGACCTTTGACCTCCCCTCAGGCTATCCATCCAGCTCACCCCTGTTGACAACATCAGCAACCAAAGAGCTAACTTCAACACCACTGTGACCCTTGAAAGTAACGTGTCATGTTTTAGACTTTCCAGATCATTTGCACTCTGTCCAGTGTGCACCTTTTATCACAAAAGCTACTAAAAATGAACTGACGGTGTGTTTCCACCTCCCTCACCTCCTCTTGGTCCACACATCTTGGTTAGGTAATCTGGTGTGTGTCCCATTACAATAACTGTAATTTCACCCTCCTGCTAGTCATCAGTGCTCCTAGGTATTTCACCTGGAAGAGTCAGGTGCAAAGGCATTTATATACAACTCGGCCAGAATTAAGTTTCAATCTCATAAGGACCATTTGGGCCAGGGTGCCACTCAGAGGGTGTACCCACCAGACTGGCCTGGGGTTGCTGTTAGGAGAAAGAAAGATACATCCTGCCCTGGATTGGTCAGAGTGCATCTCATATTTGAAGAATAGGTACACATAATCCTCACTTCTTTAGTTCTTTTCCTGGAAACATCCAAGAAGAGACAATGCATCTTTGGGGAAAACCACATTCATTCACTGAATTACCTATCTAAAGGACAAATATTATATAACCTCACTTATATGAAATGACAAGAAGAGGCAAATGTATAGAAATCAAAATTTATTACTGGTCACCAGGGGTTGTCGGGAGGGAAAAGGGGGAGCCATTATTTGGGAAGTAGTGAGTTTCTGTAGGGTGATGGGAAATTTGGCATTAATTATGGACAATGCACGTGATTAATGTAATTTATATTACTAAATTGTGCACCTGAAAAATGTTGAATTGGCAAATGTTGTGTTATATGTATTTTTACAAGAAAAAAAAGATTTGTAATCTCAACTGAACTCGATGTTGGTGTAGTATATTTTCCTAGAAAAATTCCATTTCATCTGGGTGTCCTAGTTTGGACTGAGTTAGACAAATAAGGCAAATGTTTCCTAATCTCTGTTATTGATATCGCACTCTTACTTTCACAATTACAAACTGAAAATCCTTTGAAGGATTCCGTTCGTCTGCCAAAAAATTAAATAATCATGGTACCGAGGGGTCTGAGGATTAGAAAAGTATTAGATTTTGGAAGAACTTCTCAGGGAATCATAGAATCCAGTGAGACACACATGCTGCTCTGCCATTGTCTCTTGGCTCAGACCTGAGCCTTCCCTGCTCCCTCTGTGGGAGCCCCTATCTGCCTCCAGGGATCAGGAAAAATGAAGAGTCTCCAAGATGCTCCAATAGTCTCTTTGGAGATGCTCACCAGACACTTGAGTTTCTGGGAATTAAAAAGTGGGACAAAGTTTTTCAGACGTTTTCTCAGCTCCCCAGCGGTGGACCATCATGGCTGCTACAGGTGAGATGATAATTGCAGTTCTGTGGGGAGGTGAGGTCACAGAATCTCTAACCCATATCTCAGGGTCTGGCTGCCTCTCTTTCACACCTGTTTTGGCTGTTGTGACCGTCACTAAGGCCATCGTCCTAGCAGTAGATAGAAATCAGGTGAGTATTTTCTATTTCAATCTGAAAGGCAGGTTCTAGAAGGGAAAGAGGCGGAACAGGAGATGGGTGAGTGATAATGTCTGGAAAAGGGATTTCTCTGGGTAGAAACTGATCCAGTGATAGTGTCACACAGGAAGGATGACAATTCCTGAAGCATGAGCTTAGCTTTTGGAGGGAGACTGGAGGTCTGAGACGTGACACCAATTCCTGGCTGCTCCTAAGGTAATTTAATGAAATCCTCACAGAAGGTGGTTCTTGGTGTTTGATCCAAGTGGTATCAAAATCTGAACTTTATGGTACTTCAAGGTTGTAATTTCAAAATTAGCCATTCAGTATAGTGTGCAAAAATCACAGATATTTTCAGGAGTATTATAATTATTCCTGTAAATGCCCTGTGCATATAGTAATGAGTATGATGGAGACCATTGAATTCTCAGCAGAAAATGTGTAACTGAGTGGCAATTCATCAAATAGAATTATTTGTCTGTAATGTGGGTGTGATAAGCTTAATGAAGGCAGTACATGGGACTCTACTGCAAATATCTGTGGTCTGTTGGTGACATAATGGTGAGATTACGTTCCCTCCTGAGTGAGCGAAAGAGCAGAAAAAAATTCTGACATCTTAAGGCTCGAATGCTTTTTGTGAATTGTGATATTTTCTCTGCTTTAAAAATACTCCAATGTTATTTGCTGGTTCACTACTCATCTCTATTCCATTTCAATTTATCCAATGCACAAGATTCCATGCCTCCAAATTCCATTTTGCATATTTGTCTTATATTTCTATTTGTCTTTTCCAAAATAAGGATTATTTAGTTTCTTTTAGTTTATATAAAATAACTAACATTTAGTATTTGTGGTCTCTAATGAGGATTAATTTAGTTTCTACCCTAAAATACTTTATCTCTTATTTATATTCCATGTTCCATAGTTTAAGCCACAACAGGATGTTGTACAATAATTAATGTGACAGATGCTGTTGTAGTTGAATTCCTGGCAAAAAATTTGAAACGATTCTGTTACCATGTTAATATTTATCAGCATTGAATAAATCTAGTTGGATCATTGAAAATTATTCAGGGCACCTACATTTTATTAAGACTTCTGAATCGTCATTCATAAGTGATATCGATCTATAGAGTAAATACTTAGACAAAAATGGGAAACTATCACAGCTAAACTTGTAAAATATAATTAAAATACAACAAAGTATTTGGATTATTTGAAGACCACAGGAGGGAGCTATGATAGAATAGCATACATAGTAACCACCAATGTCATTGCAACCCAGTTACCCAAGTTCAAATCCTGACTCTACCTCTATTTAGATGAGTCCCTTAACCTCCTTGTGGCTAAATTCTCTTTGTCTGACAAAGAGAATAATACTAGCTCCTAACTCACAGAGTCACAAATATTAAATACAGTATAATAGATAAAGAATTCATAACAGTGACCAATACATTACAAGTGTTACAAAAAGAAACACGGAAAAACTTGGGAATCTCTTAACAGAAGAAAATATATTTTAGAAATCAATTCTCAGGGTGAACTAACAGTACATGGAAATTTTTGGGTTTTGTTTTCCATGAACAATGTAATCTACTGCTTATATTTCCATGCAGAACCCTCTGCTTGTGAATATAAATATCAAAGCCTGGAAAATAACAGAATAGCCTTCATGGATTTGAAAATAGCAATGATCCTCCTATTCCACATGGTCGTTGGAATCCTGGGAAATTTCTCACTCATGTACCATTACACCAACTTTTACTTCCATGGATGCAGGTCAAGGTCCACAGACTTGATTCTCAGTCACCTGACTGTAGCCAACTCCTTGGTCATTCTCTCTAGAGGAATCCCAGGGACAATAGCAGCTTTTGGGTTGAAAGATTTCCTTGATGTTGGATGCGAACTTGTTTCATTTCTTCACAGAGTGAGCAGGGGAGTGTCCATTGGCACCACCTGCCTCTTGAGTGTCTTCCAGGCCATCATCATCAGCCCCAAGAACTCCAGGTGGGCAAAGCTTAAGCTAAAAGTCCTAAAGTATGTTGGCCCCTCCAATATCCTCTACTGGATCATGCACATACTGGTAAATACCATTTTTCCTATTTACATGTCTGGTAAAGGGGAGTAACAAAACCCTAACCAAAAACAAAAATGACTGGGGATACTGTTCTGTTCCACTTCATGACAATGTTACTTTCACACTCTATGCAGCATTGATATCCTCCCGTGATGTTTTGTTCTTAGGACTCATGGCCTGGACCAGTGGCTCCATGGTTTTCATCCTGTACAAACACAAGCAGCGGGTCCAACACATTCGTAGGAACAATCTGTCCCCACAAGCCTTCCCTGAGACCAGAGCCAGCCAAAACATCCTTGTTCTGGTGAGCACCTTTGTGCCCTTTTATGCCCTCTTCTGCATCATTTATGCTTATTTGGCTGTTTTTGATGATTACTGTGGGTGGCTGGTGAACATTTCTGCACTAATCACTGCATGTTTTCCAACAATCAGCCCCTTTGTTCTGAGCAGTGACCCCCTTGTATTGAAACTTTTCTGTGTCTGCTGTGGAAGGAATACACAATTTCCACCCCTTACTAAAAAAACACCATTTGTATATTTGCACCATGTTCAGTCATTGATGAACTCATCCCTCACAGAATCTTGAGAACAACTACGAGGCAGACTCATAGCAGAGAGAGTGGTGAACAAGACAGACTGAGATTCTGCCCTAATGATAAATAGTAAATAATAGCAGCAATAGTAAATGGAATGTGATTTTTTTATGTAAGTACTTATAGACTTATAATGTATTAGTGGTTGCAATAAACACTTGCAATTTTTTAGAGTACACATTTATTTTGGAATAAAGGGGGAATTGGATGATGGGTATACGTGAACTCTGTATTATCTTTGGAAATTTTCTGAAAATCTAAAATTATTACAATACCATGGTACATTTGTCAAAACTAAGAATTTGACATTGCTACATTACTATTAATTCAATGCAGACTTTATTCATATCTCACCAGTCTTAACACTAATGTCTTTTGTCTCTTCCAGGATCCCATTCAGGATACCACATTGTATTTAGTCATCAGGTCTCTCCAGTCTCCTCTGCTCTACGACTGCAGTGCAATGAATTACTTAACATGGTCCTTCTAGACATAGTCTTTGTAACTCCCACCAAATGACTGGGTGGGACTATGCAAATGAGGTGTATGAAACACTAACAAGGCGGTTGGTCAGTTTTACCATCTCACTAGGCTTAAAGGAAGACACTGAGAGTAAGAGCTTTAACGCAAAACACAGAGAGGGAGAGCTGTAACACCAGAGATGGTGAGAAGCAGTGACAGAGAAACAGTGGCAGCAGAACCAGGCAACCATCAGGAGACTGGTAGGAGACCAGCAGGAGACGGTGCAGCGGGCTTCACAGCCTATGGGGCGAGAAAACTGCGCACCTCCAGGCAGAAGGCTTGCTGACAGAGCAGGGTGCTTCCTGGCACTTGGTCGAGCTAGGTTTGCCAACCCACAGAGATAAAGCTGAGCTCCTTCCAGCCAAGGCTTATTGGTGGAGTAGGGTGTCTCTGGGTGCTTATTGGCAGAGCTAAAAGAGCTTTGTAACACTTACCCAAGAAGGGCAGAGGCCAAGGGGTCAGAGAGAAGCATGTCTGCAGGCACAGCAGAGAAGAGGCTCTCCTGTTGGAAGAACTGTACATTGAGTGTTCCTGAATCTGAATTGTAACCTGTTACTTCCCTAATAAACCACATAATCGTGAGTATTGTCTGTGGCCATTGCAACAAATTATCAAACCCAGCAGAGAAGTAGAGAGTGCCATGGAAGGGACAGTTGGTGTCAGAATTGGTAAAGATGGCAGAGAGAGGAGGCATGTCTGACCTTCACCTTATAGGACTCAGCCTTGGGCCATTGATCTTGATTCTCCTTCCCCTTTGTCAAGTTAGAGGAGGTCAGACACCACCACCATGCCATTCATACAATGACTGTTTCTCAGTCTTTCCTTGTTTTTCTTGACTTTTATGGGTTTCTAGAATACTGATCAAGTAGTTTTCAGAACATTCCTAAGTTTAGGCAAGTCTTTCGTTTTACTCATGATTACACTGGGTTTATGGGTATTTGGAAGTATATTACATGCAATTAACATTACATAACTGTTAATGATAACCTTGATGACGTGGTCAAGGTAATGTTTTCCAGATTTCTCCACTGTAAATTTACTATGTGTCTCTTTCCACACTCTATTCCTTAGACGGACAACACTAATTTTAGCCCAAACTCAATTGGGAAGGGGGTTGGTGTGAGCTGAATTAAATGACACCTTCTGGGCAGGGAGTTTCTACATATATTATTTGGCCTTCTTCTGTAAGGAAAAATTGTTTCTTTTCCTCATTTATTCACTTATTAATTCACATTAGTATGGGCTCCTGTATATTTACTTTATACTTTGTGTTATAGTTTAATAAAATGCTATTTATTTTGTTGCTCAAAATGTTCCAGTTTTTATCCATTGGGAGCTCCTTCAGGTTGTTATATACTTACATCTCTCTCCCCCCACAACAGGCTGAGTCTTGATGTTGGGAAAGTAATAAATGGTATTCTCTCATTCTTCTCCTCCTTATTAATCCAAGGTTTTTATTTCTACAAAGGTCATTGACACAGAAGTGAGAAAAGGTAAGGGAGATCCAGAAAGTTCATATGAGAGTTCATTAGCTTCACTATTCTCTGACTTGGCAGATGTTTACATTTGCAACTTTCTCTCATAAGCAAAATTTGGGTGTTCATGATATATCAGTGGTCCTCAAACTTTTTGACTTTTTACCATCTAAAAAGTTTTGTAAAACTCTGTGATCTCATTTCTGGTGAAATGTAAAATTTTAATGTAAATAATAAATCATTGCAGAAGATAATTTTCAGAATATCATAAATATTTACATTACCCAGAAAAAAACTTGTGTAGAATACCTACAGAACTGTAGCATAATCACCAAAGTTGAAAACAACCCACACGTCTAACAACTGATGGATGATATTCAAACTGTGGTACATCCCTACAATGGACAAGCACTCAGCAATAAAAAGGAAAAAACTATCGATATATGCAACAACATGAGTGAATACTATTTTAGAATGAATTATGCCCCCCTCCCCAAAATATGTGTTAGAATCATAACCTTAAAACATATGGATGTAATCCCACTTGGTAATAAGATTTTCTTTGTTATGTTAATGAAGTTATGTCAATGTAGGCTGTGTCTTAAATTTAATCACTTCTGAGTTATAAAAATAACAGATTAAACACAGAGTAAGCACAAATAGGAGGAAGATAGATGCCAAGTAAAGATCAGCAAGGAATTGAGGAAGACTAGGGCTACAGTAGCTGAAAGAGACAAGGATATTCCCCTAGAGCAGATGCCCTGAATACAGACTTCTAACTCCTAATCTGTGAGAAAATAAATTTCTGTTCTTTAAGGCTACTCATTTGTGGTATTTGTTACAGCAGCACTAGAAAACTAAGAGAAATAGCAGAAGCATTCTGCTGAGTGAAAGAAATCAGCTTCAATAAGTTACATGCTGTATGATTTTGTTTATATGGCATTAGGAAATTTATAGTGATAAATGAAAAGAAATAAAATAAGAGGTTCTCAGGATGTAAGATGGTGGTGAGTGCTGATTTCATAGACACAGGAGGGAAATTTAGGGGGATTAGAAAATCTCAATAGTTAGATTGTGGTGGTGGTTACATGACTATACATATTTGTCAAAACTCATAGAACTGTACACCTAAAAAGCGTGAATTTTACTTTAGGTAAACCATATTTTCAATACTAGTACCATATACCCTTGAGTCGATTCCAACTCATGGTGACCCAATGTGGGTCAGAGTAGAACTATGCCCCATAGGATTTTTAATGACTGATTTTTCAGAAGTAGATCACTAGACCTTTGTTCTGAGGCACGTCTAGGTGGACACAAACCTCCAACTTCTTGGTTAGCAGCTAAGCACATTAACTGTTTGCACTACCCAGTGATACACTCAATAAATCATACTTAAATAAAACCTGTTACATAATACAAATACGCCCAGTGGAATTCGATGATATAGAAATATGATGGTTACCTGTAAAAATGGCATAGGGGTGGCATCTGAACTCCTCTAACTTCACAAGGGGGAGACAGAATCAACATCAACAGCCCAAGGCTGATTCCTATGAGGTGAATGTCAGACATCCCTCCTCTCTCCACTATCTTTACCAATTCTGACACCAACTGTCCCTCCCATGGCACTCTCTACTTCTCTGCTGGGTTTGATAATTTATTGCAATGGCCACACAGAACTCACAGACAGTAGTCATGATTATGTGGTTTATTAGGGAAGTAACAGATTACAGTTCAGGTTCAGGAACACTCAGTATACAGTTCTTCCATCAGGACAGCCTCTTCTCTGCTGTGCCTACATGCATGCCTCTCTCTGGCCCTTGGCCTCTGCCCTGCATGGGCAAGTATTACAAAGCTCTTTTAGCTCTGCCAGTAAGTACCCAGAGGTACCACACTCCATCAGCAAGCCTCCTGCCCAAAGGCACTCAGCTTTCTCACTCTGTGGGCCTGGAAGCCCACTGTGCCATCTCCTGCCAGTCCCTCCTGCCACCGTTTCTCTGCCATCACTTCTTGCTGTCTTCAGTGTTATAGCTCTCTCTCTCTGTCTATCAGTCTCCTGGTTCCAGGAGCTTCTCAGTGCAGGGATCCCAGGTCCAAAGGACACACTCCACTCTTGACCCTTCTTCTTTGGTGGTAGTGAGATCCTCTCCTCCCCACTCTGGGATGGCTCATGTTAAGCCTAGCAGGATGGCAAAACAGACCAGTCCCCTTGTTGGGCCACAATTGCCTTATTTGCACAGTCCCAACCAATCTTTTAAGAGGGAGTTACAAGACCATGGTGAGAGAGGCCACACAAAAGCAATCTATCACACCACATTATCATTATCCACAATAAATTTAAACAGGCCCTTCTTTAACATTTTACATATCTTATCCAACTGAATTTAAGATTCTGTTATTTATGACGCATATTTATTTTAGGTACTACCCTGGTGGCATAGTGGTTAAGAGCTACGGCCGTTAACCAAAAGGTCAGCAGTTCAAATCCACCAGGAGCTCCTTGGAAACCCTATGGGGCAGTTCTACTCTCTCCTATAGCGTCGCTATGCATCGGAATTGACTTGATGGCAACGGGTTTTGTCGATCAAGGTCCAGTGAGGAAAAGAGTCCACTCTGGGTGTTTCACTCAGAGGGAATGTTGAGGCAATATAGAGATGATTGCCAGCTGAAAGTTGCTCCCATCCCCGGTGCTGGAGGGCCAGTAAGGAGGTAGAGTTATCAGAGCTCAGCTCCAGGGTTATCAGCAGGAACAGAGTGGTCACCTGAGCACAGCAGTAGAAGGACAGTCACCCTGACCTCTTCTTTCCCCTCCAGTCCTTGCCAGTCTCTTTGTGCCTAAACCTGCCCAAAGGCCAGTAGACTGGGGAGTCTGTGAAATAGCCGACCCTGTGTGCACTATAGAGTCCCTGGGTGGTGCAAATTGTTAACATGCTCATCTGCCAAACGAATGGTTAGAGGTTAAAATCTACCCAGTGGCACCTTGGGAGAAAGAC